ATTTTATATCAAACGGCGTATAACACTATGAACCAGACAAACCATCGACTTGAAACGAAATTGGAAACGATGGGTTTCGAGTGGCTCCGAGGGTGGCATGGAGGAGATCGTGTAGCAAGGATGGGACGATAGCTTATGGACGATCATGGGGCCAGGTGAAGAGGACTGCAGACAACAGGATAAAACAGAGATAGGCTGTTGAAACCCTATATTTCATTCGTAATCTAAGGGAACAGTAACAATCCCGTAATAACCTACTCGCTCAGTAAACTGAAGGTTCTCAGGTCTATCCGTGGTAGCATCTTGGGTGTATACTGTTGAAAATTCTCAAAAGTCTATTCTCTTCAAATAACCTCTAGCTAATATTTATTCGTGATAAAATCCAGATTATTCTATTCCTCAAAAGGAAAATCCTTGAAAAAAAGCACTGAAGTTAATTTCACCCAGAATGAAACTATTTCTTCATTCCTTCCATTACTGGTGAAATATGCAGCTTTAAACCACAAGCTGTGAATTGAATTGGTGGATGGTGACCAGCAGTGGAATCCAGGATGCTCATTTCGTCCTATTTGGGATTCGTCAACTGGATGTACCTACATTCCCCAATGAGTGATAATGTTCCCACCAAGGCTCGAACCCAGTGTCACTTCTAATTACATGCCCAGACATCGTCGAAGCATCTGCACAAGAAGCCGACATGTCAGCCTGAGACCGAGCACTTCGGTCCAGTCAATCGACGGGAAAATCTAAAATTCAATTACACAAGCTGTAAAGTTAATGTAGTGATGTTCTTATGTTTTTTTACCAGGCGGGGTTGTCAGTCTCATGCTTAACCTTCCCTCCACCTCTTTTATGGGCTTACTAAAGACCAATAAACTTTAAGCAGAAAGTTTTAAAAAGGGAAATAACAGAGAAAATTTGTAGCTCAGCTGGTTGATTTAATTGTGGAAGTTTCGTTATCCTTATAGACAACATCTTCAGTGAAAGCTTCAATATAAACTGAGCTTGTTTGAATTATTTCCCTATGAATGAAATAATTGTGTGTCTCTTAACATACAACAATTGTCGTTATTGGCTGTTCATTTACATTTCTATTGATCATTTTTATTGACCCGGGATTGGAACTTTCCCTGTCATATGGTTTATACTTTATTAGCTGGTAAATTTTGTCTGTAGTAATGTGTTTGTTAATTGCTGATTCGTCTGAGTACTGGGCTTCTAGAAATTCCCTGTATGCATTTTTGGTGTTTCCTCTGTTTAAGATTTCTACATTCTGTCAAACAATTTGGTGTCCATAATTGTCTACATGTGCGTCGGTGGCACAATCGTAGAATACTGGCCAACCACGCTTCATGTGGTCCGGGGTTCGATCCCTGGCCACCAAGGCGCTCCTTTACCTCGCCAAACCAGTAATAAGACTGGTAAAGAGGGAAGGTTTTGCCATGATGCTAGCAACCCCATCCCCTAAAAACAAAGTACCATTGCTACCGAAACTTTGAGGCTGTAGCTTGAAGCCCTGTGTATTCCATTGGGAACGTAAAGGAATAAAAAAATATTATCTACATACATCGATCTGAAAGAGTACGTATCATGCTTTTTCACAGGTAGTTTATGTTCTTGGGTTCTGAGTCAAAGAAGACGTTCTTTTTTGTTGAAAAAGAAACCTGATCAGATCTCTTGCTATTGGCGTCCGACACATCTGCACCTCTGACAACCTGGAAGAAGGACCACACTTCATGAAAGAAATCTTCATACAAAACGGATATCCACCAAGATTCATAGACAAATACATCAAATAGAAAGTCCAAAAGCAAAAGACGCCATCTGTGCCAAAAAATACTATATAGAAATCTCGACTTCAAAGGTGACCTATTCAGTGATGTCCTTAAGAGGGGAATTTCCACTTTTTTAAGAAGAACCTTCTTCGCGGTAACACTGAGAGTAGTGTTCTCCAGTTGTCCGCTGGTCTGAGCAAGCCCAAAGGACAAGATCCTGCTTGTATATATATATATATATATATCAGTTCATCTGTTGCTTTGGAGCCAGGTACATTGGTCGTTCGACGAGCATCCTGTCAAAAAGAGTCAAAGAACACTATCCAGCGTGGCAGCAGAAAGGAAGTACTGGCCATATAAGAAGTGCAATAATCGAACATCTCGTCACCCCTGATCATTCCATCTCAACAAAAAAGCCTCCTTCAAATTAATCTACAAAGTGAAGAACAACCTGCCAGAGACAATACGTTTCCATCTTCTTTGCATTACAGAAGCCCTAGTCATTCATTCAGTTAGAAGAACCAGAACTATGCATACAGACTAAAATTATTCAGCCACTTCTACTATCATGGTAACAACTCTGTTGATTTGACTTAAATTTTGCTTGTATGCTTATTTTTCTAACTACTTAAAACCCTTGCGTAATTTCATATGTTATTTTGTTTCCATGTTCACCCTGAGCACAACTCTTTCATCAAACTATCCAAGTTATTACGAAACTTTTCCTTGACAACCGTTTGTGACAACTGATCACTTTTGTTACTGTCCTCTTAAATCAACATCTAATTCACCTGAACTTACTAATTGTGTTTTCGTTTAACAAATTTAACATACACACACATACAAAACAACCATATATATATTTGCGATTGTACTGCTATGAACATGAATTCGCCGAAAAGAGACTCTTCGCTGAACTACTGGTCTTCTGTCCATGAATGTCCATGAATCCAAAAGAGTTCGAACACGTTGTAGTACTTCAGTGTTGAAGAGAACGGTGTCTTCAAGAATAAGGAATACCTATGTAATTTCAAGTCGAAATACCGACAAGAAGTCATCCTGAAAAACTATAAGATAATTCATCCTACCATATATACATATAGAACATCTCTGAAATAACGACTAGAATACTAAAACCATCGAAAATAGACATGGCACATAAGCCGACGAAGTCACTTCATTCAGAAGAAGATAGGGTGAGTACCATTTACAAGATAAATTGCATAAACCGTAATAAACTCTACACTGGTCAAAGTGGGCATGCCCTTCGAATCAGAATCCGACAGCATAAACTAGCTGTAAAAAGGCACGATATGTACTCTTTCAGATCAATGTATGTAGACAATTTTAGACACCATATTGATTGAGAAACTATGTAGAGATTTTAAACAGGGGAAACACAGTCAGGGAATTTCTATAAGCCCAATACTCGGGCGAATCAACAGTTAACAAACACATTACTATAGTTTATCAGGAGTTGGTTTGTAAAGATTAGATTTGTTCGAACCCCGGTGGGTGCGTACTGCCGATGATTCCTAAAACTAGACGGATGAAACAGCTGTCCAGTACTCCTCCCTGACTGGTTTTCAATGGTTCTCTAACTGATATGAATCCGTGATCAACTCATAAAAAACAAACGAAAACTATAGAAAATTAATCTGATGCTCGCTAGTGACTTGCTACAGGATGGAGTTTCCTGGAGTTCTAGTGAGAAGTCGTGACCAATGAGGTCCATCCAGATGTCAGGTGTGAGGATGGATGTCCCACATACGACGATGGTTGGGGTCGCGCTAAATCACGAATTGGTAGAAGTTAGAATTCATGGGTTGCTCATTGAATCGGGTCCCAGTGTCTGAATGGTATACGAGCTTGCCTTGTGACCGGAACGTCCTGAGTTCGAATCCTGGCAGTGGAGTGGGTGCTTACTGCAGATGATTCCCAAACTAGGCGGATGAAACAGCTGTCCAGTACTCCCTGTGGATGGTTTTCAGTGGTTCTCTAACTGATATCAATCAGTGGTCAAACTCGTAAAAACATTACTACAGATCAAATTTACCAACTAATAAAGTATAAATCACATAACAGGGAAAGTTCGAATCCCAAATCAATAAAAATGATCAGTTTTTTTTATTGGACACTAGTCAGTAACTAGTGTCATGTGTGTGTGTGTGTCCAGTCCTACCTTTAACGCAGACTGAATTCTATCAGTCAAGTTTGTGGTTGCGATCCCGGATAGCTCATTTGTAACGTCTAAAACTGTACTACTCACTGGGTGACGTCGGTTCGAATCTTAGAAGGGAGGTTGCAGATACGTCACGGTGACTGACTGGGAAGTGCCAACTAGCATGAAACCTATGTCAAGCGGGACATCCTGCCGATTGCCTCCAACCACTGAATACCAACAGAAATGATCAATAGATGTGTAAATGAACAGCCAATCACGACAGTGGTTGTCTGTCAGGAGATTCAATTATATCATCATTCATAGGGAATTCCACTGAAACGATGTTGTCTACCAGGGCAGTGAAACTTTCTCAATTATATCAACCAGTTCAGAGCAGACGAAGAAATTAAAAATTGTTTTCAAGTGTTGGTTTGTAGGGATTTGATTGGTTACAGGATTTCATCATGAGCTGACATTGGTTAGAGAACCATCGGAAAACCTGGGAGTATTGGATAGCTGTTTCGTCCCAGTTTGAGACTCTTCACAGTATGCACCCACCAGAGGGGTTCGAACCCAGGACCTTCTGGTTACAAGGCCAGCTAGATCGTAAACCATTAAGCCACTGGGACCCGATCCAATGGCCAAAATTGTTTGCTGGAAATCGAACCAGCCAAAACCCACCGCATAGCTGGCAAACAGTTTACCGTCTAGTCACCGACTCAATTTCACACCAATTCAATAAGCCTAATTGTTGTTTTGCTTTTTTGTTTTTTCCGGAATTTACATTTTATTATATTTTATCAATTATGATTTGGAAAATTTAAGTAGTATATGTTTATTTTTTTTAAATATCAATATTTATTCAAAGGGGGCAGTTAATTACAATTCATTTTTTAAATAAATATTCACAATGATGAGAAGATAAGAAAGAAAATTTTACTGATGACAGTTTCATCAATCTCAAATATGTACGCATGTATGTGTGGGGCAAATGAACTCACACACACACTCGCACACACAAGCACAATCGATTAAAGTACATACGTATATGATATTAGTAATATAATTCGTGTTTGAGTACCGTAAAAGGTATTGTCGACCCTAATTCATGAAGCAATTGAACATGTTGGAAACAGAGTTACCTTTATATTTTTCTTCAATGCTATCATCATTAAATTCAAGAAAGTTCTAAATAAAAAAGACCTAAAAGCATGAAGGATTGAATAAATCAATAAATCAATAAATCGCTTTGTTTAAATGCAACTGTTTATATATTCAATATATATATTCAATTGATCAATGGAATAATAGATGTTTTATGCATGTTTAAATTAACATCTGAGGTGAAGAGTGTTGCTGTTGGTGTTGGTGTTGTTCACTATGAAATAAATGAGTTGTTGTATGCGGTGATGAAGTTGACGATGATGACGGTGAGGATAATGTCGAAGACATTATGGAATGGTGTTGATGAACTGACGGACCTGATGGACTTCTCAATGGATAAAGCGGATTTATACAATCTTCATTATTATCATTGATTTTTAGATATTCTGATTTAAGATTATTAGTACTGTTATTATTGTTACTATGGCTACCGCTACAATCTGTTGGTAGATTTGTTTGTATATAATTTGATAATGAATTTAAAAGTTCTTTTTGATCTTCACTCCATTGATTTAAATATTGACTGAAGTTGGTTGATTCAAATGAAGCAGCTAGCATAGCGTAGGCAGCTGGATTGATTGAGTTTTTCTTCCAAAAACCCTCATTTTCATTACCACCAGTATTACTACCACCCGTAGTAGGATGAGAAGTGTTCTGTTCATTCTGTGTTACATTGATTTCTTGCCTTTTTTGACCAGCTTCCAACAGTCCATTTGAATGTGGCATCATTTCACCTTGACGCCATTTAAACAAATCTGACAGTGTAGATTGAGAAGTAAATATTGATTGTAATGATACTGGGAATGTTTCAGTATACGATGGCATTGTTGATGCATTGAATACACTCTTAGTAGGAGTGGGCGAGTTATGATCCCCTGAAGATTCAGTATTGTTATTGGCTGTAGACTTATCATGATGCTCATTACTATTATTATTGCTGTCAGCTTGTTGAAATAACGTTAATGCGGAGTTATCAAAGTTCAATGGATGAGATACAGGAATATTTTCTATTGAACCAATTGAATCATTTCTGGTGGCAGTGAATGTTTCAATATTTGATGCTTGTGAATTACTCACCTTATTACTACTATTACTATTATTATTATTATTGTTTTTATTCAGACATGACCATATTTGTTGATAGTAATCTAAAACACCAGAATACTGACTAAAATCTGGTGAATTCAACTGTGAATTTATTGATTCCTTATTGATTAGTGAACTGCCCTTCATCAAATAATTCATTGTACGTAAAAAATCAAATGTTGACAGAGGTTCTTTCTGTCCTTGACTAGACAGTGATGACGTATCATAATAGAATTTAGATAATTGTGATGTCATATCAGTCTCCATACTTGACTGAAAACTTTGTAATGATGAATTCGTCTGAGAATAATACGCTAGACTGTGTTGATGAAGATCTAATGACGACGATTGAATATTTGTTAGAGATGGCATTGTTGGAAATAAATTCGTTATTGAAGGTTTCATTGATGGGGGAGTTGAAGATACCGGTTGTGAGTGATGAGATGGTTGTTGGTGTTGTTGTTGTTGTTGTAACGGGGGGATCATTGTTTTTGAAAGAAATAATTTATCACTTTGTATATTCACATCTTTTCCAGGATTTTGTTTTTTCCATTTCGTCCGTCTATTCTGAAACCATATTTTCACTTGTGTCTCGGTTAAATTCAACGATAGCGCTAGATTTAAACGTTCACATACAGACAAGTATCGTGTCATTTTAAATTTATTCTCTAGTGTTACTAATTGTTCATAAGTGAAGGCAGTTCTTGCACGTCTTGGTTTCATATTTAATTCATTTGTATTATTATTATGATTATTTGAATCTGTAGTATTAGTGGATTTCAAAGATTTTTTAACACTATAACTCTTAAGATTATCGGAATCATAATCACTTTCTTTATCCTCATCATCTTCCTCGCCATGTTCAATTTCATCTTCATCACTTTTATCAACTGGATCTTCCATATCTTCATTCTCCTCTCCAGTGTCATCATCATCAAGTTCATATAAGTTACAATTATCAACACTATTATTATTGTTACTATTATTATTGACATTATTATATTGATTATAATTTAAATTTAACTTATCGATCAATTCTAACTGGGAAGCATAAGAATGATTAAATCGATATTGATTTTTTGTATTTTCTACATTTAAATATTCATATTGTTGATCTTGTTGATGATTAGATGGATGTTGATGATGATTTTCTTGTTTGTTTAAACAACATTCATCATCATCACCGTCATCACCCAGAGTTTTATATTCATCACATTTTACTTTTCTTTCGGACAATTTATCTTCTACAGATAAAGATTGTATAAACTTTTTCGATTCATCTGTAAGCATTTCACGAGAACGTTTAATTTTTAAAGCATTTATGCTTGTTGTAAATGATGATTGTTGTAAAGTGTTATCATCATTGCCAGTTAATCTACGTTTACATGAGGATTTAAAATTAAAATTAAAATCTTTAATCTTTTGTATTGATTGATGATTAGATGATGACAATGATAATGAAGGTGATGTACTTGCAAATCGAGGGGATGTTTGAAGTTGATTTGAAGATGAAGAAAGCGAAGAAGATGTAGTACTAGTAGTACTAGTTGGGGGAGGAGGTGATGCCGAATTCCTTTTCAAAATATTATAATTGATTGAATCAATCATTGATTTTTGTTGATTAGATTCTGTGAAAAATTGATTTTCTACTGAAAAATGAAATAAGAGAGAAAAGAAAAGGAGATTAAGTAACATTTAAAGTGGAAAAAAGGAGGAATATTGGATGAGTGCCTTTCAGTGGGGGGGGGGGAATCGCATGTCTTCAGTCCATGAGGTAGGGTCAGCCTGGGAAGTGGGAATGTTGGTTAGTTTAACTAGAAATAGTTGGGATTCAAGTGTTGGTTTGTAGGGATTTGATTGGATACAGGATTTTCATCATGAGCTGACATTAGTTAGAGAACCATTGGATAACCTGGGAGTACTGGACAGCTGTTTCCTACTAGTGTGGGACTCTTCAGCAGTACGCACCCACCAGGGTTCGAACCCGGGACTTTCTAGTTACACGGTGAGCTCATAGGCTAATAAGCCACTGGGACCTGCAAACCAAAGCTTGAATATCAATATGATGCCCACTAGTGACTGGCCTTATTCAGGTAATTAGTTACCTGGGTTCTAGTGGGAAGTCGTGACCAGAAGGGTACAGCAGGTTGAATGTGAGGACAAATACTCGCCAGCGATGACACTAGCTAGTGTGAGTCGCGCTATATCGCGAATTTGTAGAAGTTGGAATTCATGCGCTGGCTGACCATTGGATCGGGTCCCAGTGGCTTAATGGTCTACGAGCTCGCTAGCCTTGTAACCGGAAGGTGCTAGGTTCGAAACCTGGCAGTGGGTGCGCATAGTGATGAAGACTCCCAAACTAGCCGGACGAAATAGCTGTCCAGTACTCCCTAGCTGGTTTTCCAATGGTTCTCTAACGAATGTTAGCTCATGATGAAATTCTGTGGCATATTATTAGTGTTACTTCCTTGGGTTCCAAGGGGAACATAGGGCTCTATTAGCACATCACCATTTCACTCTGCTCTCCTCAGTCTTTTTTCACTGGCTCCACGATTACCAGCGAGCCCTCATCCTCTCTTCGATGTCACCCTCTGACCAAAACCGACCTCGTTGGTGGCTCCTCAGGTTCAGGTTTCACTCTAGGGCCTGAAATATAGCAGGTCGCAGAAACGGCTTGCTGACTGGTGAGTGTCAACTAGCACGATACCTAGGTCAAACAAGGCTTCCTGTGGCCGATTGCCTCCAACCATCTAATATCATCACAAACAATGTACACCGTGATGGCGAGCTACCTAGAATGGTGGCCACATTACAAACCTGACTGACTGAGAGAATACAGTCTGCACCAAAAAAGGTACTAGACACACTACACTAGTTACTGACTAGTGTTCAATCAAAGCACCTAAAATATAGCTTTAATATTGATTTTTTCCACATCTTAAGGCTTAGTAGCAATTCTTTTGTGCCTCTGTTATGTCTTTGTCCCCATTCCTACTACCTTTTACTCCGCATACGTGTATACTGAACAGTTTGAGTAGTCAAACAGTAACGTTTAATCCTAATTTGATCATATTTGTCAATATTGACACATTCATTCTAAATAAAGACCTTTGATTCGCTTATAAAAACTTCGGTGATCATTAAAACGAAGATTATTGATCTGCCTCCCCTTCAGGCTCCACAGTTATACCCATGTCTACATTAGCTGGATGATAAGTTTGTATTCATAAACTTTTCTTAGAAAAGTCTAATCATTCAGCTTCGTTAAGCCCAGTATCCAGTGTTATTTCAAAATAAGATGGGTGGAGGGGAAGGCTATATATGGTTCCATAAGAGATCATCTATTCGACGCGGATCATAAGACCAACATGGAGCGATCATTCTCTCCGTCATTTACTAAAAGAGGCTAGATTTTCAAATTGGGCAAACAGCAGAAGCGACAGCAGTCTGAATAAGAATGTCTACACTATGCATTCAACAGCTTCGGTGGCGCAGTGGTTAGGACTCTCGCCGACCATGCACATGGTCCGGGGTTCGATCCCCTGCCGACGCACACCCGATATCTATGGTCGGCCTGTAAAATTTGGGCTACCGATATCCATGCTGAAAATTCCATACCTGTACCAAAAATACGGTGTGGAATCAAGCTGTAATCAAAAATAATAAAAAAATAAATAAATAAATCACGTAAAAACAAATAAACACCACTGCTACAGAAAATTCAAGTCTCTAGCTTGAAGCCCTATGTTCCACTCGGAACCTAAAGGAATAAAAAACACATTATACATTCAGAAGAATGTACGCGTGTAAAACGCCTGTCAAGAATCAAAAAATTCCCAGTATCGTCTAATTTTACTCCACAACTATTCAACCTAGACATCTTCCTGGCTTATAATTATCTTAAGTTTTAGAGTACTGAACAGATTTTTCGACCCAATCTGGGATTCTTCTTCAGCACCATAGGTGCCCATTACCATACCAGCAGGGATCGAGCCTGCAACCTGTAGGTTATGATGTAAGCTCATTGATCATTCAGTCACCGGGAACGGAATCCAACGGCTGGCTTAGGCATTTTAACTTTTTTCAATTCGTGATTTATAGTGCCAGCAGCTGGCCAGTACCAGAGTCGAGTATTTATCTTTGCACCCAACCTGGTGGATACCAATGGACATGAATTCCGTCTGTAACTCTAGGGGCATCTTCATTCTATAGACCGTCACTAGTGAGTATTCGATTCATTTTCTTTAAGTATAATTAGTTTTAAAGGGATTTGTTTGGTTACAAATTTGTTATTTACATTCATCCAGTTTTTGTTATTACTTTTATTATATCATTTGGAATTACGCGGAGTTAAACAGAATAACACCAAGAAACTAATATACTACTGATTAGTTGAGATGAGTAGTAGTTGTACACCACTACTCATATCATCAACCAGTAATGCTTGCCAACTATCCACATTACCAAGATATTCTAAACACCCCACGACCTCATC